TAACTCCTTGTTGTATTTAGAGCTGACACAATAGTGGTAGTTGTTCCAGTCATTCGTAGACCTGTTTTCCCAAGTTGTTCTTTAGTTACTTTCCAACCAAGAGTGGAAATGTTTTAGAATTTGTAGAAATTAAGCAAAAGAAACTGCCAAATGTCTGAGTCAAACTCTGCTGCATCATATCCCAAATATTTCAAACTTTGGGGGAACTAATGAAGAATTTGAAACCAGCTTTCTCATATGTTAATCTGAATTGAAATTGATTATATAAAGTGAGTTGAGTGGAGTTGGCTCAAAAAACAGCAATCCATAATTTATAGTTAGATGTGGCTTTGATCTTTAAGCCAGAAGCAGAACAAAAAACTCCACTAAAGACTGAATGAGAACTAAAATGCAGTGTATACTTTTGCCAGTTCTGTTCCTTTCAGGACAACAGGCCTTCTTATAGATATAGTTTTAGAAAAGAGTGCAGCAAATGATTGTGACAGCTACCAGTATTCAGTAATGAGAATCATAATGTCATTAGCTGACTACAACTTAAAAAGAATATGAAGACCTACAAGTATTCCATTTATATCTAATTCTTAGCCTTTGGTTTCCAAATTGAAGCAGGCTTTGATGTATTTGTACTCCAAAGTGTTTTTAAGAAGGTATAATTAAAATTTGAAGAATGCCATAAAAGGAGGAGTTTTAAAAAAAGAAGTCTGTGGAACTATAGTTATGGCATTATTCAGCATTTTAGGATATTTTATAGCATTCTACAGGAACAGAACATACTGAAGAATGAATTCCTTGTATGGTTCTGTGGTAGTTTTGGCTAGCAGTTACCAACTTTATGAAATAGTCCTTCGTTCCAGGCTGCAAAATGTCTGCAAACTCAGTGGCATTAACAGTTTCATTATAGAATCAGGATTTTCTTTTAACTGGTTACATTTTCTAGTTAACTGCAATGATTCATTCCTATTCATTTAAGTCAGTAAAAGGTGCAGTTGAGTGCCTAATTTGGACCCCAAGTATTTAACTTAGTTTACTTTTTGGTTTGTGTAAACTAAACAGAGGCATTCCCCAAATCACTGAAATAGACTGGTTAATAGACTATTATATCAGTTGGATGTTTTTAGCCTATGCCCTTCTAAAATGCTTCTTTGGTAACATTAAATGAAAGCTGCATTTACAGCAAAGCCTACTACATCACTGGGTGCTTGATGGGTCTTTCAGAGGATGATACAATATGCAGTTTAAGTGTGCCTAGTTTTGTGTAGGATTCATTCTTTTACAGAACGAATATCATTTAGGTAGTAGTTGTTTATATACAGATGTTGGCATGTTATGAACTGTAAGAAGTCTTTACCTGGCAAGTACATTCAGTGCAGCTGTCAATAGTCCACTCTTCTTTATTTTTGTGCAGAATTCCATTATGAATGCACACACCAGGAGTGATCTGCACTACTTTGGCAATCAATTCATTTTCTTCAGTCTTAATGAAACAGAAAAGAAAAAGCATCACAGGTATCTTCTGTACTAAGCTCTCCTTTGTCTCAACACTTGTAGTTTGGTCTACAAGTCTTAGAGGCAAGTTGTATTTGAGAGTGAAATACTAGCTAATGAAAACTACTTTGGATTTACTCTGCACTTACCACTTTACGCACTCTGTCTTGAAGTGTTGTAACCATGGACCGCAATCCTTGCATTTCCACAAACATATTTGTAAGTTCATCACAGGAGAAGCCACAGATTGCCTGGATATCCTTTGTTTTGTGGCCAATGTAATTAGTACGGATAGCTGGACTGGAGCCATTGATGGGATTGTCCAATGTAATGATCGCACTAGTGGCTAAAAACAAAACAGTATATGCATGTTAATATAGATACATGCACTTGATCTCTCAAGATTACAAGTGAAAAATTCATCGTCTGAAGTGTGCATAACATCTGCTAACATAGCTGTCACCTAGTCCATTCATTTGTTTATAAGCCTGAAAAGGTAATATAATTTGTTATACAATAATGATTTGCATTTCAGCATACTTCTGAATTCTGTCTCAACTTGTCTTCCCAGCATGCTGAGGAATCCTGTTTTCAATAGGTCAGTGGATTCGAAAAAAGTTGCAGACTTACAGCTGGAGCAACCTTTGTTCCTTAGGATGGCCTCCAGGGTTGTTCCAAAGACAAACCGCACATTCTGCAGCACTCCCTGTGGACAGAGGAAAAATGACAACTTTCTGTCGCAATTACAGGGGAAAGAAGTGTCATTTTGCACAGAAAATTTAAAAGTTTCAATTGAAACATAAAAGTCAAAGGCAATAGGGTGAGGGATGTGTCCAGAATGCTTCACTACCCCTGTTGACTCAGTGATAGCAAGCCCTAAGTCTGAACACTCTTTTCCCCAGCTCTAAGTGTCTAATAACTCCACAGATGCACAATGTCCATTCTTCTCCTCTCTATATTCTGGGTTTTATTTTTGTTTACTAAAATTTGTTACACAACTATTTATCTGATCAGAAACTTTGAGTTCTTCCTGTAGTCTTACGAAATTCACCATCTCTCACTAAATGATTCTAAAGCTTAAATGTGCTTGGGATTTGAAGAGGATTTTCTACAACCCACCATTAACATGCAAGCATTCAAGTAGATTGTGGAGGCTATTTATGTTGGATGTTGAGAGTTTTCTTGCAGAAGCTGATCAGCGGCTGCACCCCTCCTGTTCTCATTACTACTCTGTCTCTAGGGTGTCTAGGTGTGGCCACTGTGCCTTTAAGTGTTTCTCTCGTTGCGGGAGCCCCATGAAGCTGCTGACTGAGAGAAGGAGCCTAACCTGGAAGTTGTCATTGACACCACCCTTGGCGATGCGGAGCTTGGCACTGCTGGCCAGGTCCCTGGTGAAGATGTTTTGGATGGGGATGTCCAGTTCAGCATTCTCCATTTTCTCACACCCTACGTACAGCTGGGCCCGGTCCTCCTGCACGAACAGGGTGATATTCTTCCAGTGCCCAGTGGCCAGCAGGGCATCCTCCACTGACACCACCTGCTGCTTGCCATCACCAGACAGGCTCAGGTCTAGGGTGCCTGCCTTGCCGTTAGACACCAGGTTGAAGATATGGCCAGAGCTGTCCTTGCGCTCCACGGCCAGCAGGGTGCCCCGGCTCTTTTTGGCCTGCCGGAGGGTAGCCAACAAGATGAAGCCCTTCTCAGCATAGATGGCATCCAGCAAATCTTGGAACTTGTCATCAGGCACGGCTGGGATGCGGCTGGCATCCTCAATGCGGTAAGCAGGGCTGGAGGGCTCAGGTCCCTTCACCAAGTGCACCCCAGTTGCCCGACGTCCGGCCCCCTTGCGAGTGAAGCCGATGAGTTCGAAGAGATCAAACACACTGTTATCATCGCCCCCAGACTCTGTGGAGAGACCAGAACAAGCACTGTGAACAAGGACAGGAAGGGGCTGAGTGGTATGCAACCCCTGGGGTGGGGGGGAACACACTCAGGTGCTGAGGGCTGTGAAAGTAGCTCAGCCCCATTGCAGGCTGGTGTTCACGGAGGCTGAGTGGGGGCTTTAAAAGGGAGTTGAAGGGCAGCCCAATGGGGTGGGGAAGCTGGTGGAGAGACAGTGCAGGCAGGGGCAGCTGTGAAGCTAGTTCAGTCCTGTAGTGGGGCTGCTGTGCAGAAGGGCATGAGAAGTCCAGTTGGGATGCAGGTGAGTGTCATTTACATCCTGATTTATGCACAAAGGTAGCTGGACAGGGAGTGGGGTTTTGAGGGCCAGTAGAGGAGGGGAAGCATATCAGGAGACACAAAGGGAGGACAGCAGAGTGCCCACATCTGTCAGATCCCATTTTAAAATCTAAGGGGAGAGTTCTCTGATCGCCTACAGAGATCTCAACTAGTACATAAACAATTTCTCTCTGTGGTCCCCAGGGGCTAGGCTGCGAAGTAATGGACAGTGCAGGCAAGCTAGGGGAGAGTGCCCCAGGTGGCTTCTTTTAGTTCCTGAGGTACATTTTTTAACCATGCTCAACTTTGAAGTCCTTGAGTGCTCAGTCCTTCCTCGTTTGAAGGTTACATAAATTCTGCACAGGAGGAAATATTTGCTGTTCATAACCACTAATCTGAATATTCCTCAGGCTAATGCATTTTTGTGGGCTGGAAATATCAAAGCCGCTCTTCGCCACAGTTTAAGGTTTCATTCCTTCCAAGTCAGCACCAAAGATATCAGAAGCCTTTTAAAAAAATAATAATAATCCCCACCATTAATATTGACCCAATAAATCTCTTTATAATCGCCAGGTACAGAATGAAGCCGCTGTTCTTACCTGGGATCTGGTTTGCTCTGCAGACACCAAACATTAGGAGGAGGAAAAGTCCGCCCGATAGCTCCATGGCAAAGATCGGTCTCCCGGACAAACCTTCGAACAACAATAAAGGGGCATCTCATAGCCATTACATTCAGAAAAGTAACGTTTGGGGCAATCAGTAGGTTTGTCAGGTGCCCTGAAGATGGAAACCGCTGCAAAGGGCTACGTGGGGCGAAGGGAGAGAGAGACGAGCGAAGAGTGCATAGGTAGCTAGACACACACAGACCCCCCACGCATTTCAGCTGGGTTCCCCCCCTTCTGCTTGATTTGATTTTCTCTCTTAGAAATTACATTACGTCGCAGGGGGAAATCAAAGCGCTGCTTCAGCACTTACCTTTACAGGAAAAGATGATGAGACCCTAGAGATAACCCAGGGGAGGAACTATCTTCTGCAGCCACTGAAGAAAGAGCGATCAAAATCCTCGGAGTCTCCCGGTGGCTCTTAGGTGAGTTACTGTCTCGAGCGCTCGGCAGCGCCCCTGAGCGCGTAGTACCAGCGTCTCTTTGCAGCGGGGTCTCCCCTGTTCCTGGAGCAGTCCGAGGGTCGCCGTGAGTCCTGCGTGGCGTGGCGGATCGGTAGCCGCTTGCAGCCCCCGCAGGTTTCCCTTGGCTTGCAGCCCCTGGCCGGTGCAGTGGAGTGGCTGGAGGAGCTGCTCTCGCCTTTAAGGGGTCGCTCACATTCCTGAAAGTCCCGCGGGCCAATCAGCAGCAGCCGGGCAGGAAGCGGGCTGGTGTTTATCCAGTTACCTCACAACAAGAGAGAAACAAACCTTCCCCCCCCCCCCCCCCAAAAAAAAAGGCGGGCGGGGGGGGGGGGCGATGATCACCCTCCCGCTTCTCGATTCTGCACGCCCAGCAGCCCATGGTGGCGGCGCTGCCATGCCGCTGTTACAGACCTGTCAAGGGATTTGCTGTACCCCAGTTCGCGGTGCTGGGAATGCCTGAGAGCCTAGCTCCCCCGAGACCACACTCTGGAGTAGTTCAGCACTAGGGTCTGCAGGGGAGGGAACAGCCCGGCCGCGAAGGAGCTGATCTCCCCAGTCTGATGTCCCCCCTCCTACCCCGGTCGTTAATTCGTTGCTGATCGCAGCTGGGCTGGGGCTACACTAATCCGTGCTCATGTTCACTGGCTGAAACCCTTCTTTGACTTTCTTTCTTTCCACAGGTATCTTTGCTGCTGGATGTCTGGGCCAGGCTGTTTGCACAGCGGGGCTCGGAGGTGTGAAACATACACGGACCTTCCATGAGGCGCGGGTTAGGGCTCTCACTCGATGCATTTCTCGGACCACGGGCACGCTTTCAAAAAGCCTTCGCGTCCCATGCCAGCTCGCAGTGTTCAAAGCCAAGCTGTCCACTTGGCGGCGCTCTGCGAATTCTGATCGCCATGGCCGGAGAGGGAATGGTTCTCAAGTTAATCATTCCTAAAGGGGAAAGGGCATTTTTCCTTTTATAGGAAATAATGAAGTTGCATCTTGAAACTCACCCCCCCCCCGCGCCCCCCTGCAAACCGGATCTCCCCAGTTGTACTTTTTGTGCGATTCTTGCCTGAGTTTTGGAGAGAATTATGATGTCACCAAAGTCCTCATCAATCGCTATTCGTTCACTGGGAAAGAAGCTGCTGGCAGTTCTTTCTTTTCTCTGCTTCCTAAAAATCTCTCGTGCCGGTCTCCTCTATTCCCCGGGCGCTTCCGAGCAGATGTACGTTAATGGCTGGGAAGCTGTGCAATTCTCCTGGGTGGTGGTGGTTGATTTTTTCAGTGCTCTCCTACTGTGTAGGGGATCTCGGTGCAGTGCACGCTGACAGAACCTGTCCCTCGCCAGCATTACTCCAGCTGTCTGGAATCCCATTCATGTCCTCTGGCACTGACGTGGGAGCAGCAGCAGCCCTTCCACGCAATGGAGTGGGTGGGATGAGACCTATGAGCTAATCAGATCTATCTGTACAGCCTTGTTATTGTTACCAGGAGACCCAGGTTATCAGTCTTCTCCAGACAAGTGCCCACACATATCCTGCAACCCCAACCTTGAAAGCAAGACAGATCGGTAACAGTTAGACACGTGTCTCCAGGTTAATCATGCCGTTTAAATTCCCAGTGAGCGTGCTATAGTGTAGTGTGTGGGAGTGGATTGGATAGGTGGCAGGATATGTGTGACTTTAGTGCCTATGTACATATGCCCAATGTGTAGTGTGTGCCAGTAATAATGCTGAGTTTGAGCGTAGTATAGTGCATGTAGTGTATGGTAGGTTTGGAGTGTGTGAGTTTAGTTTATGTAGTGGGTAGTGCATATGAATAGTAGTGTAAGTTGTGTATATGTAATATGCAATGGGTGTGTAACGCTTGTATATATAAGTATGCAGTGTATGTGCGAGGAGTGTAATGTATGTAGTGTGTAGAGGACATGGCTGTGAGACTTGTGTGACCTATAGAAAACACCTGAAAAACCTGGAACGTCAGCACCAGCACTATCTTCAGAAGATCCTCAACATAAAGTGGGAGGATTGCCACATTAATGTCAGTGTCCTCACAAAAAGAACAGGAGGACTTGTGGCACCTTAGAGACTAACCAATTTATTTGAGCATGAGCTTTCGTGAGCTACAGCTCACTGCATCGGATGCAGCTGTAGCTCACGAAAGCTTATGCTCAAATAAATTGGTTAGTCTCTAAGGTGCCACAAGTACTCCTTTTCTTTTTGCGAATACAGACTAACACGGCTGTTACTCTGAAAAGTGTCCTCACAGAAGCCAACATCTTCAATGTTGAGGCCCAGATTATCCAGCACCAGCTGAGGTGGAGCAGGCACTGTGTGCGCATGCCTCATGTACGCTTACCAAAACAACTGCTGTATGTCCAATTCACCAAAGGAGAAAGGAAACGGGGAGGCCAAAAGGAACGCTTTAAAGACACCCTCAAGGTAAACATCAAGAGATATGGCATCGACACCACACACTGGGAGATAGCAGCCCAGGACAGGGATAACTGGCAAAGACTTGTCAGAGAGGGAACATCCATTTTTGAGGAAAACCTTGCCTTGGTTGCAGAAAAATACCAGAAAAGAAAAGACAGACAACTGTCACCAGCAAACGCCGCCCAACCCTGACTTCCAACACCACCTGCAACATCTGCCAACGAGCCTGTGGCTCAAGGATCAGTCACCAAAGGACACATAAAAAATAAACTCCTGTGAAAGAGATCATCCTCTACCTCGAGGGATCACCAGTGATGTAGTGGATATACGTAATGTCTGAGCATAGTGTAAGTTCTGTTATGCAGAATGTGAGCACAATGTTGGTAGTGTGCTGATCCATAAGTGGATAGTGAATAAGTGTAGTATGTAGTGTGTAAATATAGTATGCAGTGCATATTATGTACATGTAAAGAAGGGAGTATAATTCAGTTACATTAATCTCTAATCAAACTCAAAACTAGGAGATGGCAACTACACATGGTTGCTTTTAAATGTTAACTGAAATTGCAGACCATACATTACATGTGTTCAGCTGCAGAAATGCACTCTCATTTGGAAATTCAAATTTCTGTTGGGAAAGAGCACCCTTTCCCCTTTTGATTGCTCAGAACTTCCTCTAATTTGTTTTGGAATGCAGTTTCCCATGCTTGGTCTCAGCCTGACATTGATAGTTTTTTAAAAAAGTTGTAACCCAGTTGGTTCAGCTGTTTTGCATGATTCAAGCATAAAACACGATAGGACCCTCTTCTGCCTCCTCCCCTGCCTTATTTTCTGATATACAGCACAGGTTACTTTGGCCCCAAAAAGAAACATTACAAATCCTGTAGTGAACATGTACTTCTTTTGCTCTGACATAAGAGTGATCATCTTTAACTGGACTATCTCTGTAGGAAGAAGGAGCAAGAACTGAGAAAGAGGTTCTCCCCACTTTTGGTGTGTGTATTGCTGTTGAGAAACAAGCCCCTTGCATGTATTTTAAGAGAGCTTTGACCCTCTGTGGAGGTTGTGTGGGGAGACAGACGTGGAAATGTAAAGAGCATCAACTGGTGTAATTGTTATAGCTTCAGTGAATTCAATACAGCTGTGACGTTGCACTCTATATGATTTTATAAAAATATGCTAATGAGTGTGAATATAATGTAACTGGAATATGCTTCATGCAAAAGGTCTCTTGTAAGGTATCATTACAAAGCTTATAATCTACTGAGTGTGGTCATCCTATTTGTATGTATGTATCATTCTTGTATCTAAAACTAGAAATATGAAATATAACTCTTAGGGTCTATTGTAATTATGCAAAGTGTGGGCCATTAATGGTGGTTTGGAATCTTGATGGCGCCCATCAACCAGGACAATTGACTGTGGATGGCTCTGTTTGCTTGCAGGCCCTCCCGTGAGTCAGGCTGGGAGGAATGAAGGCTTGGGGTCTCACAGGACATGTGACCATGTCACCTGGTACTGAAATCCATCTTAAACCTGGTGCTTTTCCATTTAGAAGGAGGGGTGGGGACCCAGAGAGATAAAAGATTCCCGCCTTGTGCCAAAGCTATATAAGGGAGTGGAACAGACCAAAGGGAGCGACCATCATGAGAAATCCCCTAGCTACCATCTGAGCTGGAACAAGGGCTGTACAGGGGAAAGGATTGTGCCCAGACTAGGAAGGCGTCCAGTCTGTGATAGAAGCTTCTTGAAACATCTCTGTGGGTGAGTTTTTATCTGTATTCAGTTTTCTTACTGTACTAGGCTTAGACTTGCCTATTTTATTTTATTTTGCTTGGTAATTCACTTTGTTCTGTCTGTTATTACTTGGAACCACTTCAATCCTACTTTCTGTATTTAATAAAATCACTTTTTACTTCTTAATTAACCCAAAGTATGTATTAATTCCTGGGGGGAGGGGGGCAGCAAACAGCTGTGCATCGCTCTCTATCAGTGTTATAGAGGGCGAACAATTTATGAGTTTATCCTGTATAAGCTTTATACAGGGTAAAATGGAGTTATTTGTAGTTTAGACCCCATTGGGGGTTGGGCATCTGAGTGTTGGAGACAGGAACACTTCTTAAGCTCTTTTCAGTTAAGCCTGCAGCTTTTAGGGAACGTGGTTCAGACCTGGGTATGGGTTTGCAGCACGCTAGCGTCTCTGGCTCAAACCAGGCAGGGCACTGAAGTCCCAAGCTGCCAGGGGAAACAGGCTCAGGGATAGACTCAGCACATCAGTTGGTAGTTCCCAAGGGGTTTTCTGTGATCCAACCCATCACAACAGCTATGACAAATTACATCAGATGATGATCTGCCCCATTACCCAGATTTAAGGGGCAGGGAAAGGTTGATGGTTTAAAAAGATAGATTGGAAAAAAGTGATGTCTCCTTCCATTGTGGTGGTAAAATAAAATGTAGACTGTCCTTGTAAGGGAAAAGCAATAAGTAATGTATAAGATAGTATATTAATGTTTTATTTAGGGCTGTCAAGCAATTAAAAAAAGTATTCGCTATTAATCGTGTGATTAAATAATTAATAATGATAAATCATGCGATTAATTGTGCTGTTAAACAATAATAGAATACCATTTAAATATTTGTAGGCCTTTTCTACATTTTTAAATGTATTGATTTCAATAACAGCACAGAATACAAAGTGGACAGTGCTCACTTTATATTTATTTTTGACTACAAATATTTGCACTATAAAAAACAAAAGAAATAGTATTTTTCAATTCACCTATTACAAGTACTGTAGTGCAATCTCTTTATCATGAAAGTTGAACTTACAAATGTAGAATTATGTACAAAAAATAACTGCATTCAAAACCAAAACAATGTAAAACTTTAGAGCCTACAAGTCCACTCAGTCCTACTTCTTGTTCAGTCAATCGCTAAGACAAACAATTTTGCAGGAGACAATGCTGCCTGCTTCTTGTTTACAATGTCCCCTGAAAGTGAGAACAGGCTTTCACGTGGCACTGTTGTAGCCGGTATTGCAAGATATTTACGTGCCAGATGCACTAAAGGTTCATGTCTCTTCATGCTTCTACCATCATATCAAAACATATGCGTCCATGCTGATGACAGGTTCTGCTCGATAATGATCCAAAGTGGTGTGGACCGATGCATGTTCATTTTCATCATTTGAATCAGAAGCCACCAGCAGAAGGTTGAGTTTCTTTTTTAGTGGTTCGCGTTCTGTAGTTTCCACATTGGAATGTTGCTCTTTTAAGACTTCTGATAGCATGCTCCACATCCCATCCCTCTCAGATTTTGGAAGGCACTTTAGATTCTTAAACCTTGGGTTGAGTACTGTGGCTATCTTTAGAAATCTCACATTGGTACCTTCTTTGCGTTTTGTCAAATCTGCAGTGAAAGTGTTCTTAAAATGAACAACAGGTGATGGGTCATCATCTGAGACTGCTGTAACATGAAATATATGGCAGAATGCAGTAAAACAAAGCAGGAGACATACAATTCTCCCCCAAGGAATTCAGTCACAGATTTAATTAACACATTGTATTTTTAATGAGCGTCATCAGCATGGAAGTATGACCTCTGGAATGGTGGCCGAAGCATGAAGGGGCATACGAATGTTTAGCTTATCTGGCACGTAAATACCTTGCAATGCTGGCTACAAAAGTGCCATGAGAATACCTGTTCTCACTTTCAGGTGACATTGTAAATAAGAAATGGGCAGCATTATGTCCCGTAAATGTAAACAAACTTGTTTGTCTTAGCGATTGGCTGAACAAAAAGTAGGACTAAGTGGACTTGTAATGATGTATTCCAAAGTATTGTGGGTATAGTGGCTGTGGGCTAGCTTTCAGCTCAGGACCTTCAGAAAAGGTTCTGTTTCATTCTGAGGGAGGAGACTAAATTGGCATAGCACCAGTGAAGTAAATGGAATTATGCCAATTTACACTAGCTGTGGATCTGAACCTATGTATCTTATTCCCATAAATGGAAAGTCCCAAAAGAAGCTGTATAATATGTCTGTCCTGTTCACTATACCACGAACTTCTGAACTGCAGTGAGCAGTGATGAAGCTATGGGGATTGTTTTGTTTTGTTTGACAATTTAGCAATGCTTTTAAAAATTCTTATGATGTACAAGCCACAATTCTCTTTTTGCTTCATGTTGTGACTTTCTTTGGTGAACTATAAACAATCCCACAAACAGTGAAATACAATAGCAGACTGAGAGAAAGTGCAGAGCATCTAATCCTCTGACTGGCATCACTCACATCTCCTTGGAGTGTCAGCCATTATCTTCTTCCTCCTCATTTTCACTGTCATCATCGTCACTCAGGGTTGTCATCCTGATGTGTCCCGGTGGATTATCCCTGCAACCCAGCACACGTGCCGAGCAACACTATTTAGTTGTAATATTTTTTAAAGGAAATTGATGTTTAGCTCTAGAGAGGAAATGGATACATAATGTTGGGAGTGAGGATTTGTGTGCAGGGCAGAACTCCTGCTGTATGACACTTGATCTTGCGGTCACTGAACAGTGGCTCAATTGCAACTCAATGAAAGAGGCCACCCATGCAAATTCCAGTTAAAAACATAATTTCTTCTTCTAGAATATGACTGTGTGTCTGCACATCAATATTTTTTGTTTGTATGTATGTTCTCATCCAAGCCCAAGCTACATGCTGGCTGCATCCAAAACTCAGACTTCAGATAGTTTTGCCTTTGAATTTCTTGCACCAAATGTGGCCCTACACCCATGTCAAAAATGTTGTGGGAAATTGCGAATGACTGATTAACTGATATGTTATTGAACTGCATCCCAACCACTTAATAAGAGGAGATCTTTGCAGCTGTCTGAGCTTCTGCTAAATTACAATATAAGCCCAGATGCATTTGTTTACTGTTAGTCAAATATTGGTATTGGCAAAGGACAGCTCAGTTTCATATGGGGAATGTGATTTAAAGGAATAATATTGTGGTGAGATGACTCGCTTACAGTCAACTGCATGTGTTACTGAACTACTGGCAGCAGACACACAACAAGAATGATAAGATCAACGTTTAAGATTGTTTCCCTCCAGTTTGCTATTTTTCACAAACAAACAACCCAAAATATTACTACTGGACTTCTGAGTTCTGAGGTGGCTTGTCTTGTGGTTGGACATCAAAAGAACCTGCTTGTGCAATGATCCTCTTCCTTCAGGGTTACATTTCTTGTTACTATCAAAAAACAAAACTACAAAGTAATAGAGAATGTTGCTTTTCCTCCTGTTTAAAACAATTAATAAAGGAAAAGGTGGCTTGCACTGAAAGAAAGCAAATATCAGTTTGACTTTCATTGCTAACTTTAATATAGGAGCAATGTTTGCATACTGTTGTATTCAGTCAAAACTTTATAATGGTAACTTCTTGGTTAACTTTGTTAACAATGGATCACATTCAACCTCTGATATAAGTACCTAGCCCTTGATTCAGCAAAGCATCCCTATTCAGCAAAGCATTTGAGTACGTTTAACTTTAAACACATGCTGAAGTTCCCTTGATTTTAATTGGATTTCAAGCATGCACCGAAGTTAAGCACATGCTTAAATGCTTTGCTGAATAGGGATGGCCTCAAGCATGTGCTTAAGAGTTTTGCTGCACTGGGGCCTTTGGTCCCACTGAAGTTAATAAGAGATGCTCATCAGCATCCAGGAGCAGAATGTGACCAAATATGTTCTCTTGTACTTTCAACAAGCAGATGAGGATCTTATGTTCCTTCATGACAATCACATACACAGTAGGAAAGAGATTTGTTGAATTCATTCTCACTTACAAAATGGGAGGAGAGGGGTAACTGCACCATCATACTCCGAATGAATCTCTGAATTACCTTTGTATTAGACAGTTGAAGCAGGATTAAGTTACAATGAAAAGGAACAGAGATGTATTTACCACAACATGTGGCCATTATGGCAAAATGCTTTAGTCAAATACAGACCCACCCTTCTATTCTTTCCATCTTTTTTTTTTTAATTAGAAGGAAAAGGTCAATTAATAGGGTAAAAATATAGGGATTTAAATAAAAATAATTACAAATCCTGTATGATTACATGATTTTTTATTTTAACTGTTAGTGAAAAGAGCACTAGAAGGCAGATCTATGCCAGACATAATAGTGTGAAATGAATAGAACTAGGTTGGTGCTGATATGTTCAGAAGTTGAACATTATATATATGCTCATATATATATGAAATTTCTGTGCTGTCATTACACATCTTAGAAATATGTATCTAAGACAACTAACATAACCAATGAATAAATTGTATGTACTCCAGAGAAGAAAGAATAACTGCATGCTAGGAATTGTTGAGTCTGTGGCTTTCAGGCACCGCATTTGGAATTAAATGGTGTTTTAAAAAGTATGGGAACATAGAAATTAATAGTGGACACTGTGATTATATTTTAACGTGGAGGAAAGCTTGAAAACTACAACGCATTTGTTAAATTCTTCTTACTGAGGAGCTGATGCGGAGCAGCCTCTGTCACAACTGTGTTGTGAATTTGTTTTAGATCAGCAGGCTACATCAGGCATAGAACTGCACCGCTGGGCTGTAAAACAAAAAGCAATTGCCTGTGTGTTGTTTTTACGAATTCTGCAAGGTATCAGCAGTGGGTCAATGCAGCAGCTGTTACACAACATGCACATAGATAGTGACGTGGACAACTTTATGTAGAACACAGAAATGAAAAGGTTCTGTTTCATT